TTTTGTTAGGTTTTATATTTGTAAGTCACAGCGGAGGTTCCTGTCAATGATGACGCCTAAATAGTTCAATTGTTCAGTTTCAGGAATACTCAGATTTTTGTCAATTTTAAATGGCCCGAGCTCTGGTAGATTATTTTTATAAGAAGTGAACGGCATGCAGAAAGTTTTTTTTGAAATTGACGGTTAGTAGATTATTGTCGAACTAGCACTTCACTTTACGGAATTCTTTTTCAGCGATATTTTTCCACTCTGTCCAATTTTCGCGTCTAATAAATGTAGTTTTGGCTTTCATCAATAGTTTTGCTGAATTATTTTTATACTGTTTATATTGCCTTTCCAAGGCTCCATCAATTGATTTAGTTCTCATTGTTTTACATAGTTTTTTATTATCGATTGATCCCAGAAGGCCATCTGATATCTACTGTTTCCTCTTTTCTTCTTTCTCCTTTTTTTCAATCTGACGCAATTTGTATTTTTATTGATGAGGTTTAATTGTTGAGCAGTTTACATGATATCAAAGCTTGTAAATCCCTCTCTTCGTGCCGCTATTGTGGAAAAAGACATCACAGGAGTTTTCTCATCCACCAATATACTGCATCTCGAGATACAAGCGTTCCTTCTACATCAAATGCACCCCCTTTGTTACGGTCTCCAACCACCTCAAATCAGACACAAATGCAGCTATTAGTGAAGCAGGGCTGGTGTCAAAAACTCATAGTGTTTTATTGGAAACTTTGGTACTAGTACTTGAGCATTTTGAAAATTTTCATTAACTCAAGTGCATTCTCGATCGTGGGTCAATGACCTTCGTAATAAAGGCAAGCATTCAGAAATTAGGACTACGCAAAAATGAATTCTCGCTTGTTATCCTTGACAATGTGAAGACCATAGTCAATCATGGGAGTGTTTCTTTACAAATTCGTCGTGTGAACGAAATTATGCCTATTTTTTTGGTCGATGCCGTTATTTTACAGAAGATATGTGATAACTTGCCTATATGATACTACTGATTGGCCACATATTGCAGATTTGAAATAAGCCGATTCCAATTTTAATACTCCCGCTTCTACAGATATGTTGTTGGGAGCCGATATCTTTCCGCGAATTGTAAACCCTGTTCAAATTGTAGAGTGCGTAGGCACGCCTACAGCAATCAATACCGCTTTCGGATATGAAGACAACAGGGGAAAAAGGGAGAATGTCACAATATAGTGGAAATTGACTTGACACCGCCATCTGATAGCCTAACCAATATAGTTCAGTATAAATAGAAGTCCATAGCAATAACGCTCATTAGGTAGTCTGGCAAGAATGAAGAAATGTACCAGAGCAGATAATTGCGAGTAAACAATCCAGTTTTTTGACAATTTATTTGGACATTCCCCATTTTTCTCTCGAATCTTTCCTTCAACTTCCAAAAAGTAAGGAGGTTTCAAACTTTGAAATGCGTTTTTTCTCGAAACTCACTATTTGTGACATTCCCCCTTTTTCCCCTGTGGTCTTCATATGTGCTCGTTGGTAAAATAAATCAAAACGATCACGTCTTTATTTTGTTCTACGCTTTCATCAGATAATGAACATTCGGCTTTGACCACGATATTGATAAATTTCTGGGAACTTGAAGAAGTTCCTCAGCTCCATCATATATCACCTGAAGAAGAGAAATATAAACAAATCTTCACTGAGACCATATGTTGAGACGACACGGGAAGTCTTTCTTTCTTTTCGTGATCCATTTCCTATTTTCCGGAATATTCGCTCTCTTACTATTTCCCGATTTTTGTCGCTATGTCATGTGAAGGCAGTTTCATGCAATGATGTTCTGCTTGAGAATTAATACACACCACATCATTGCGTTCTCAAGCCGGACAAACTAGGTGTGATGTTTATTGCTTCCGCCGATCTTGTTGGTAAGAAATTACGAAAAGATATTATAAATATTTTTTTTAAGTTTCGCTTGTATCGATATGTTTTTATAACAGACATATAAAATATGTATTGCATGATTATTGTGAATCCGAATGATTGTGACTATTAGAGAATTATCTGAAGACTTTCTGATGAGCATCCCGTTCAAGATTATGTGCTCACTCTAATTATGGCTTATCATCAGCTCCTTACCTAGCTCTTCGAACTTGATTGCACTTGGTACATCTTTAGAGCAGGTTCATAAGCTACAAACAGATGCAAATGTAGTATAATTGATACCTTCGAGAATATTTCTGTACCTACTCAATTTCTTCTCATCAGGAATGCTTTGATGAAACATCAGTTACAAATGGAATACATCTTGGACTCTACTCGTGTGAATTTATTTCGTTTCAATGTGCAAATGAAAACCACAATAATTTTTATAGGCTTCTACAAAATCAGGTTTTCACGAAAACAATTGAATCAGTTGGCCACCGTGGAGTCAAATACAGAAAACAAGAAACAGTTGTGCAGCAATTTTGACGGTGGATACGAAAATGTAATTGAGAACGGGTTATCCCATTTAAAAAAACTTACATCAGCCAATAATTTGGAATCCGAACACTTTATAGATATGAAAATAGTTTCAAGTGACTGGGGGTCTATTGTAACGAAACACGAAAAAAATTGGCCCAAGTCTTTATTTATCGGACGATGGAGTGTCGTTTTCACGTACCTTTAACGCTGTCTGGTGGGATGATTCCACAACTCAGTGTCTGGCATATTTTTTATTGAAAAGCAAACATAATCGGCTACCACCCCACAATAATTCAACGCTCTATTAATCGTACGATGCATTTATTTTTCTCAACCCTTTACGGCCATACCACGGCCGCCTCTACCACTGACAACCTGCCAGACATCCCGATAAGTTTTAAAGATGTAACGACAGTACAAAACGCAGGAGATATTAATCAATTAATCGGACTATAACATTTGTTGTCAGCTCTCCGTCTATATATCCCCAACAAACCAGCCAAGTACGGACTAAAACTACAAATTTTAGCAAAGTCTAAAACTCATTATATAGTGAATGCAGAAATATACCCTGGAAAAAAGAAGAAGAAGAAGGGAGAAGAAGGAAAAAGGAATCTCTTTCAACTCAGGTTTCAGGTTCTACGTTTGATAGAGCCAATAGAAAAGACAAATCAGAATATTACAGCTGACAACGGGTACTCATCGATTGAATTGATAGACGAATAAAGAAAACATGGTTTCTCGTGGAAACACTGAGAAAAAATAAAAAAGAAATCCCATCACAATGCCCCTCAAACCGAAATCGTCCTCCTGGATCTTCCATTTTTTGGATTCACCGCGCAAACTACAATTGTTTCCTATGTACCAAAGAAAGGAAGAGCTGCTATACTTGTTTCAAGCATACACCACGACATTTCTGTAGATCGTAGTAGCCATAAACCAGAAATAATTTCATTCTGCAACAGCACCAAAGCAGGGATCGGTTCTTGATGAAAAATGCGCTTTATACTGGACATCCAGAAGAACTCGCCGTTGGCCTATGGTACTCTTTCACGCAATATTGAATATTTCTAGTATGAATAGTGAGGTTTTGTACCAATGTGCTAGAGGAGGTTATGAAGTTTCAAGATATAATTTTATGGAGGAATTGGGATGTCAGCTGTGTACTCCTTATATGATGACACGTATACATCACATATACCTCGCCAACTTCGTTTCATGTGTGCAAATATCCTTGGAACTGCTATGGACGAGAACCCTATACCTATAGAGAAAGCTAGAAAATAAATATGGCCTGAATGTCGCATTTGTACTTCATCGAAAGACCGTGAAACTAACAACTCCTGTTTGCAATGTGTCACAATTGTATGTCCAAATTGCTTATAATTACTTTTGGAATTTTTATTCTAAATATATTTAATCTAACAAAAATATACATTTTTTTAAACTGTTGTATTTATCAAAAAAATAAAACAGGGGTCTGAGGAACCCACTAGTATAGTACCTGAGTTATAATATTTGGGTAGTAGAACTTACGGTTTGTGTTTATCTACATATTGATGATCATATTTCTAAAGAAAAGTAGCAAAACTATTGGCAATGGATACTTTATTGCTGAGCAGCAGTGATAGAAGCCCGGTCGATAGCAATAATGACACTCTTGAATAAATAAAATCGAACGACGATAAAGCAATGAAGCACAAAATTCATACAATACCCAGAAATTGTAAGAGAATATTCGAATACCCAAGTATTGGTAGTGAATGACTAAGTCAATATTGGACTTCATCCATACAGGGCCAGAATGATTCACATTATCCATATGCAGCTGCTCTAGATCAATTCGAACCAAATAAATACAGTATGAAATTAGTGCCGCACTAAATACTCATTTACACTGTCGGTCCAATCTTGTTGAATAGATATACTAGAGAAATAAAACGAGTGAAAAGGATAAACAGGAACCGGAATAGGTCTCCAAGTTCGAGCGCTCTAGAGCCCACTCACCTTCTTCATTTTTTTTATCTCTTGGAGCGCACGACAAAAAATTCCTATAGTGTTCAAAGAACATCATGCGCACCTAGAGGGGATAGAAAATGCTCATCCAATTTGTAGATAATTCATTCATTCGAGTACTGCATAGATCATGAGTTTTCTGCGGGAAACAGACAAAGGACGCTATTTTTTCAGAGGACGATAATTATGGTTATTTTTCAACTTGATCTTGCTCTTCACCCATTAGTCCTACATTCGAGAACTAGGGGGCAGAATTTATAGCAAATTTTTCCAACTCCAACCTCATATCGCGTGTTCTTTTTGAATAGATGTTTTTCTAGTTACATGCAAAATACTAACGAAAATGCGAACATTTTTCCATTTTTATACATAGACCCGCAAAGCAACCAACTCCTTGATTTTTTCCAGGATAGGTATTTTATCGCCACCTTTTCATTTCGATAATGATCTAGAGGAGAAAAGAAATGTGAACATAATGAATATCTCCAACTCCTCGTAATGAATGAATTGAACAAATGTTATTCAGAAATACTAACTCTTTATCCTTTAGCACATTATGGCACGGTTCGCACACCCTCACGGCGAATTCAAACCCCATCATGGGAATGGTGACCCTGCCTGTCGAGCACTTCTCGCATATGGCCTTGCCGCAATGGCGGCAGTGATGCTGGCGCAGGCCCAGCTGTCGTTGGTCCATCATGGCGCGCAGGTTCCAGAAGAATGGCCTGCCGCACAACTGGCACAGATCAGACTCGACCCATTCGGGTGTTTCTTGTCGGGGGCAGCTCATGTCCCAGAAGACTAGCGTGCTGTCTTCGCCAGCGCTTATAAGTTGTTTGGTGGTATTCGAGTAGTATAGCGCTGACACCTGGAACAAAAACAAACTACATTCATGAGACCTGAATGTCTTCGAACTTTATATAAGCAAACTGTTGTTGAAGATTTATATTTATTGAATCCCTTTGTATATTCCTTTGTATTATGTTCGCGATGTTTTGATATTATTGTTGTTATGGATAGTAATATAGATGAATTGAGTGTGAGTGCACCATTTATTAGCCAGCTAGCCTATTAGCCCTTGTAAGCCTACGAATTGCCAAATCACCTACATTTCTGGTCCTTCGACGCTTTGAGCCTTCAAGAATAATTCCGTAAGTGGAAAACAGTCCGAAGAAGATATTGAAAAATTTTGAAATATATTTGACACGAGTCAAGAAATTATTTTTTCAAATGTCATCCAAAAATGAAAAACAGAGTTCTCATGTCAGCGAATTTCGACGATTCGGGCAAAAATCCAGAACAGCCAAATCTAAAGCTATTCCATCTAAGAAATCACATCTCGAAAGAGAAGCCAAGAAAGCAGAATTAGAAATAGAGACCAAGAAACTGGAATTAGAAATACACAAACTGAAACTGAAACAACTGGAAATTGAGGAGGAAACTTCTATTAACCATTCACAAGAAGCAGATAGTACAGTTACAGACGTTGAAAATAATATTCAAGCTTGGGTAATTAACTTGCCAGAATTTATACCAAGTAACATTGAGTTAAAGCCAGAAGTGAGTCCCATAGTGGAAGAAAAGTTCAAGATTCCCAATGATAATAACTATGAAGCAGCAGGTTTACTGAACAAGTATGTAATGAGACAATCAGTATCCAAAGATCTTCCTTTTTTTAATGGTGAAGCAATGGAATGGCCAAATTTTATCAGCCAGTTTCGCGAAACTACCGTCCTTTGCAAATACTCGGATAGAGAAAATATGGCGCGTTTACAGAGAGCACTGCGAGGGAAAGCAAGAGATAGTGTTCAATACTTGTTGAATTTTCCTGAACAAATAGAGAAAGTCATATCTATTCTGCAGAAACGATTTGGTAGATCTGATTATATAATAGAAGATATTATAGAAAACATTAGACAAGTTCCTCATATTAGGGAACACAACTTTGACTTGTTGATAGATTTCACCAACAACGTCTTGAATTTAGTTGCCACCATCGAGAGTTTAGACTCAAGAGCTCATCTTATGAATACTCATATCCTGAAAGAACTTCTTATGAAATTACCTGCCAGTTTGAAACTACAATGGGGAAGTTATATCAGTTCTGATGGGAATATGAGCGATTTGAAGACTTTTTCTTTATGGTTGGAGAAAGTTGCAGATGGGGCAAGTCTTGTTTCACGGCCGAAACTAAATTTTGAAAAAAGAAGATATTCTACTAGACCTGGAGAGATGGCCTTTACAACAACTGAAAGATTTCAAAAATGCATATTTTGTGACCTAACGAACCACACAATAAATAAGTGCAAGAAATTCGAGGTTATGTCTACTGGAGAAAAATGGGGATGGATTAAATCAAAAAAAGTGTGTTTCTCGTGCTTACGACCAAACCACATAATACAATTTTGCAAGAAAAAGAAGGAATGCAGCCAAAATGGATGCAGAAAATATCACCATTATCTACTTCATGAAAATAGTCCGACGGAAGAAGGGGAGAGAAGAAAAAATGAAGCAGCAGAAGAACAAACGTGGAGGACAAGACAGCGGAATGAAGAGAGCCCTAACATATCTGCGAGGAATCAACCAAATTCATTTCATCAACAAATAAATTTCAATGCAACAACACAAACTCCTGGAGAAAACAAAGTTTTATTGAGAGTCATCTCAGTTATTTTATCTTCTACTCATAAATCAATGCATACTTATGCACTTTTTGATGAAGCCTCGACTGTTACACTGATAGATAAAATGGTAGCGGAAAATCTGGATTTGTAAGGTATCAGAAAGCCATTATCTATCAGCTGGACGAATAGTATGTCGAATCACTTCAATGAATCAGAAGTAATGCAGTTACAAATCTCCGGTGTAGCACCTGGAAGTAAGATATTCACCATACGCAACGCTCGGCAGTTGAAGATTTGATGTTACCATCACAAAGTATAGACATAGAAGAAATTTCAAGAAAATGGCCCTATATGAAAAACGCTCCTCTGAAATCGATGAAAAATGCAAAACCTCTAATATTGATTGGACAAGACAATTGGCCATTATCACTTCCAAGAAGTTTCATCCAGAGAGGATGGAATGAGCCAGTTCTGACAAAAACCTGGTTAGGCTGGGTCATTCATGGACGAATTTCTACAGACGAAAATAAAACTTGTGATGATTATTCATTTTTCATTCAAGAAAAAATCGGAAATGATGAAAATGACAGTCTGCATACTCTAGTCAGAACGTATTTTGAAAGAGAAGATGTATATACAAAGCCTGAGCAACCCCATGTATCATCTGAAGAATTATATGCAGAAGAAACCTTGCTGAATACCTCAAGAAGAATAGCCGGAAACAAATGGGAAACTGGGTTATTATGGAAAAGGGAAGCCAAATTACCAGAAAGTAGAGAAATTGCCCTTAGAAGACTGAAATATGTGGAAAAACAAATGAGCAAAGACGAGAAATTCAAAGAAGCCTATATATCTAAAATGGAAGATTATATCAAAGAGGTACTATTCTTTGATTATATCAGCAAACAATATGCGAGGAAACTTTCCAGCCTGGAGATCGACACTGTTAATAAATACCTGGTATTTACCACATTTTGCAGTTGTCAACCCAAACAAACCCAACAAAATGAGGATTGTGTTTTGATGCTGCCTCCAAATCCCATAATGTTTGCCTCAATGATATGTTGTCTAAAGGCCCTGATATGTACAATTCATTAATCGGAATCATATGGAAATTCAGACAAAATAAAATAGCTTTCAGTGGAGATATTAAGGAAATGTTTCTGCAAATAAAAATAAGAAATGAAGACACTGCAGCCCAGAGATTTTTATGGAGAAATAGAACTAACATGGAAGTAGAAGAACATCAAATGTCTGTTATGCTGTTTGGAACAGTATGTTCTCCTTGTTCAGCACAGTTCATCAAGAATGAAAATGGGAAAGAATTTGCCTCACAATACCCGGAAGCCTCAAACGCGATATTGAAACATAATTATATGGACGATTATTTAGATAGTACCGACAGTGAAGAAATTGCAATTAAATTGATCAGACAAGTTATTTCTATTCATAAAGAAGGAGGTTTCAAAATCTGTAACTGGAATTGCAATTCAAAGAAAGTGATGATGTAGATTCCTGAAGAGCTTCGATCAAGTGAAAATAAAAATTTGAATTTGGAGACAGAAATGCCGTATGAAAGAATACTTGGACTTCACTGGGATCCTAACACTGACGAATTTATGTTCAATTTGAGAATTCAGCGACTAAAAACGGAAATTTTACAAGGAAAAGTTTTACCTACAAAAAGAGAGCTACTAAAATTGACAATGTCAATTTTTGATCCGTTGGGATTTGTAGCAAACGTCATGGTAATTGCCAAGATTATTCTACAAGATTTATGGAAAACCAAATTACATTGGGACGAGAAGTTGCCAGAAAGTTTCAAGACCAGATGGGAAAAATTAAGAGATGCTATGAGGAATTGAAAATGTGAGAATAAAACGATGGTTCTCTGATATACTCACCCCAAATTCTTCTATACAGTTACATATATTTTGCGATTCAAGTGAAAAAGCATATTGTGCAGTTGCCTATTTAAGGATCGAGGAAAAGGATAATGTCGATATTTCATTCATGATAGCAAAAACCAGATTAGCACCTCTAAAACATCTATCGATACCACGACTGGAACTACTCGCAGCTTTAACAGGAAGCAGATTACTTAAATTCATCATTGAACATGCCAGCATACAGTTTCCGAAAATATATCTATGGTCCGATTCACAGACAGTTTTATATTGGCTAGGAAAAAAATCTAGAAAATTCAAACCATTCATTGCAAATAGAACTCAGGAGATCCAGGAATTGACAAAAAGCAATATGTGGAAATGGATTTCGACAAAAAAAAATACAGCTGATGAAGGGACAAAAGGATATATGAATACAGGAATTATGTCCAAGAGCAGGTGGTTGAAAGGCCCGCAATTTTTAACCAATTCGGAGGAAAACTGACCTATCAATCAAGAAAACCCGATCATTGAAAATGAGAAAACAGCAAAAGAATTGGAAATCAGAAAGGAATATGTAGTAACTATAAAGGAAATGAATAACATCGATGAAAATGAAGTATAACCGAAGCTGGATAGATTCTCAAACTGGATGCGATTAATCAGAGCCAGAGGTTGGGTGATATATTTTATTGAAAAACTAAAGATTAGAACTAAATTAATATCAGAGAAAAGTTTGGAATATTTGGGATAGAAACATAAAAAATGTGCAGAAAACATTTGGTTTTGACAAGTTCAGAAGGAAAGCTATAGTGAAGAGTTAAATAATTTGAAACAAGGAAAGCAAGTGGAAATGTCTAGTAAATTATTGTCATTATCGCCATTTCTAGACGACGAAGGTATACTAAGAATGAAAGGAAGAATGAGCAGAGCAATAGTAGCAGATGGAGATATGAAGAATCCAATAATATTAGACTCGAGGCATAGATTGACGAAATTGATTGTGGAACATTATCACAAGAAATGTGTACATCTAGGTACAGATTATGTAATTAATCAAATTCGCCAAAGATTTTGGATAGTTAAAATTAGATCGGTAGTCAAGAAAGTTGCAAAAGATTGTCTGTTTTGCCAGAAGAGAAGAAATAAACCAGAAATTCCTGTAATTGGTGATCCACCTGAAGGTCGTTTAGCAGCTTTTATGTTACCATTTACTCATACTGGAATAGATTTTTTTGGGCCATTAGATGTGACAGTTGGTAGAAGTAGAGAAAAACGGTATGGTGTTATTTTTACCCGTTCAACTTCTCGAGCTGTACACATAGAAATAGCAAATTCTCTCGACACAAGTTCGGCTA